AACCAGCCAACCAACCTAGGCTGGTTTAAGCTGGATTTTTCAGCAGGGGAATATTTGAAATTACAAATCAACAGAACCGAGATTTGATCACAAACTGGGCAGCTGCGATCAATGTACTTCACCCGCAGCTGTTTTTCATTAATGTATAACGACTGACAGTAATATGTAACTTACTGTACACTGTTCTGGGTCAATAATGCTAATATTCAGCACAAATCCACCAGTTTCCCTTTCTGATCTATGAATGAACTATGTAATAGCACTGTCATGCGTGTTTCCAGTGACGCTATATTTCATTGCACAACAATTAATCTATCAGGCTTTTTTGCTAAAAATAGAGAAATCACGGTTGCCTTTATTATTATTATTAGATTATTTTTAAAATTTTACCTCTCCTGCTGAGCATGAGCTAAGCTGTTGTATGGTTAGCATATAAGGCGGCTAGGCTAAGCTAGCTTCAATTTTGATTGATTTATTCTCTAATCGGTTGCCTATTATGTTGTGAATACCCTGCTGAAAAATCCAGCTTTAACCAGCCTAGGCTGGTTTAAGCTGTTTTTTTTAGTAGGGTATACTCCTGTAATGCATACTGAAGTCCTTGTTTGGCTTTCTCGGATATCTCACCTGTTCGCACACACATTGACAAAGCCGTGCCAGGCACGAAAGCTTGACAGGCGTAGCAACAGTAACTAAGGATGGCGGGGCTTAGCAAAGGGTCCATTACTGTTAAACAAAAATGAGACAGTTGATTTTTGTATCCTATGAAATAATGTACAATTTGTGATCTGCTTCCAGGTAATATGTTGGTCATTACCCTGGTAAGCTATGTTGGTGCTAAGTTTCACAGGCCCAAGATCATTGGAGCAGGGGTTCTGCTAATGGGTATAGGAACTCTGCTAATGGCTTCACCTCATTTCATTATGGGCCGGTGAGTTTTGAATAAAGTAAAGAATACTCTGTATATTACATTTTAAAGTTAATGAAGATCCACTCTTTAAGCATATGCATTCTTTAGGATCTATATCTGAAATATTGTACAGTATGTACTATTTATGTCTCATTTTATTCTGGCAGGTACAAGTATGGTACAGCTGCCACCCACACTAATGATGCTGGTAATTTCACTGTGATCTCTACATGCTCATCCGACTCTCAGGAAACTCTTCAACAGCCTTACTCTGGTAATGCGTTATGTGAAAGGCATATGGGATATTTTAATTGTAAAATGCAATACCTAACAGTTCATGCTATATGTATTGTCTAGGATGCCAAAAAGAGGAAGCTGAAAGCTCACCCTTTTGGGTGATCGTGCTTTTGGGAAACGCTATGCGTGGGATTGGGGAAGCCAGCATTGTCCCTCTGGGAATGTCATTCATTGATGATTATGCACGGCCAGAAAACTCAGCTTTTTACATTGGTGAGAGATATTATCATTATTATTATTAGTAGCAGTAGTAGTAATATCCCTCATATGACACAATAAAATTGTCTTCGTTTTCTGTAGGTTGTCTAAACACTATTGGAGTGATTGGGCCAATTGTTGGTTTTTCACTTGGATCTCTATGTGCTAATCTTTATGTGGATATCGGCCTAGTGAATCAAGGTGAGTTAAAAAGAAATAGGTGTACAGCTATCTTAGTGGTTTTTAACTAAATGAAACTCAATATTACTTTCATATATGCACTGTGGTAATGCTTATTGTTTTTGAAGAACAAAAATTGTAAACAACAAGGTTCTAGAGCTGGCAGAATAGTGAATATCCAGCCTGATCTCACGAGAAAACGTAAGTATTTTACGTTTTGTCAGTGTAGTGGTTAATTCGTACGAATTTGAACTAGTTCAGTCGTACGAAAATGTAAGATTTTAAAAAGGAGGCATGGCCCCTAATCCCAATCATCATTGGGTGATGAGCAAATCGTACTAAATTGTACGAATTAGATCATACAAATTAGCCACTAAATCAAAAAGTTACGAATTGCCGTGAGATTGCGTTGGAATTTCACAGAGCTTGGTACCATCACTGTGGAACAGGAGAACACGGCAGAGCATAAGACCACGAAGACCAGGACGCTTCAAGGCAATAAACAAGATAGCATAATAGGGCAAGTGACCAAGGATCGGGTGTCAACCTTAATTGTTGTGACCAGCAGGTTAGCTCCAGATGAAAATAACCTTAAAAGGCTAATAGAATTTGGAGCTGGAGAATCTATCAGTCTGGACAAAGTCAGTGGACTGATCTAATAAGGTAGAAGGGAGATGGAGCGACAAATGTGGAACAGCTAAAAGGAAAGGCTCCTGAGAACTGAATGCTGGAAGTATCAAGACTGAGCTGGAGGAGTAGTCAATAATGATTCATGTTGGGTTTTTGTGGTTGTTTATCACAACTAACCACAGCCTTTAGGTTCATGAAAAGTGACTAAAGGAAATCTTTGCAGCTAAATGACTAAAAAAAAGACTGCAAAAACAGTTAAAGCTAGCCTAAAGACACAACAGCGAGAGGGCTGGGTCTGCCTTCTCCACAGGCAGCGCTTGGAGGTTCACTACTTGGTCCCTGAAAGGAGTGGTAGGAACCTTGGGCATGCAGCAGGGCCGAGGTCTCAAAATAACATATAAGTTAGCTGGTCCAAATTCCAGGCATGATTTGTTGACAGAAAATGCCTACATGCTTGTGCCTGTCCAGGGGCCAGCCATAAATCAGTGCCTCCATGCTAAGAGAGATCTTAAACAGAGAAGATGGAACTGGATTAGGTGGATACCTAGAAGCACAAGAGGGTGACCTGGATTTTCCTGAACCACAGTAGCAACTGGACCGCACCAGGGTCGAGCCACCATTCTCCTGGAATCACAATCTGCTGTGAGAGCCAAGGGCTGCACTGTTGAGCTCATCTGCGAAGCTAGGTAACAGTTTTACCATGCCTGGTGAAATGCGATGGCCATGCTGTCCATCCTGACAGCACGTGTAGCTGGAACCGACATAGATTGGGAAACACTGCCAACAACTTCAGGCATTAAATATGCCAATGCAGCCAGGCATATATCTGAAAACTTGTTCCTGATCAAGCTGATCTGTAGAAGCAAGGTTCATCCAGGGAATGAATGCACAGCAACACAATGAGTTAAAGTGTACCCTAAGTGTACTGAAGTGGTCTCATATGTCCTATTCGGAGTGTCATGTAGCGGTTGCGGATGTCATATGTCCCTGGAAACTCTGAAAGCTTTCAGGTCCAATGTTTCTTGTCAAATTACTCTGACAGGTCAGTACTGACTGCAACATAGCGCCTGAGTTCAGGTCCATTCCAAGAAAAGATCAACTCCATGTGAAGGGTAGGGAACTCTTTTCTTGGTTGATCTGAATGGGGTGCGATGAAGTAGGTTTGAGAAACGTTTTACATCTCAGCTGGAAGAACGGTATAATTGCGACTTTTGCCAAAGAACAGCAATCTCTTCACAAGATGGGCAGCTGTAGATTTTACCACAGTAACTACACCACTAGCCACTATGACAGGCTAACCAGGCTGACAGAACCAGTACCAGTGGCACCATCAGAGTGACCACCGCAGTGGGGCAGCTTGGGGTAGGAGTACCCTCCTCAAAAAGCAGCACAACCTGAGGAAGGGCACGTAAGCGTGTTGCCATGCTAATCTGCTCTAAGTGTCCTGTAAGTAGGCTGGAGGCATGAGAGGAAGGAGCCCATCCTCTAATCGTGACCTCCTGGGCATTGTTAAACTGTTGCATCGAGGTGGCAAGCTGGAAAGCAACACATCCCAGGCACTCAAGAACCTGCTCACATGGGTGTCAACTATTGCTGTCCTTTTTGACCATAGGCACATGTTCCTTTACCAATGAGTACTCCTAGGCAAAGTCCCCAAAAGTGTCACCAAGCTGGCATTTCCAGACCAGCAGTGTGACCATCCCTCTTCCCAGGGAACAGACAGCTGACTTGGTGGTTAGAGTAAGTCATGCAAGACCCCTAAGGAGAGATGGCGTGCGGCTCAGCCAGGACCCCTTGGGGATTGTGCCGAGCATGCAGAGTCCCGACCATGTCAATCTGTTATGTTCTCGCATTCCATGCATCTATCCGGAAGAGCACAGCCATTATAACTAAATGGAGCTGGGGCCACGAGCACTAAAGAGTGTGCCCTGTGCTTTCTTCAGATAAAAACGATTCACTCTCTGATGCCACGCTGTATTTCTGTTCACCTGAGTCATTGAACGAGTGTGCAGCCACCCCAAAGGACGCACTGTAGACTCATCCAAAGCCTGCATGATTTGTGCTGACGAGTAGCGGGAGAGCGACTGGGATTACTTGGCAACTGCTCACCACAGTGCTGGGAGGAACAGCGGGTGCTCACACTTTCTGAAGCGAAAGTCTTATGAGCCTCCTCTCAAGGCAACCTTTAAACTCTTAATTGTGGAGTGGCTACATCTGTGAGAGCTGCACTTAACATATAAATCAGAGTGATTGGCCTTTCTAAGGGAATCCCCTAGTCCAGGGGTGGCCAATTCTGTTCCTGGAGATCTACCTTCCTGCAGATTTCAGTTGCAACCCTTATCAAACACACCTGTCTGTAATTATCAAGTGGATTTCAGGTCCTAATTAATTGGTTCAGGTGGGTTTGATTAGGGTAGGAGCTAAACTGTACAGGAAGGTGGATCTCCAGGAACAGGATTGAGCACCCCTGCCCTAGTCGATCAACTCAAGATAAGCTCATAGTGATCTACTAAGGGGGAACCAAAGACATTTACCATTCAACATCTATAATACATTACCATCTGCACATCATATTCCTTTGCTGTCAATAACCAACCTGGTTGATTCACTGTGTGACGCGAGGGAATATGGGGAGAGAGTAGGGATTAACAAATTATCCACAAAGCAAATTCGACTATGCCACCTGAGAAGTTTTCTCCCAGGAAATAGAAATTGGCTTAAACGTTACTCTTAGGCCACACAGGTTCAGTTCTCATATGGATAGGCAAGATACATGAGTATAGTATAAAAGTACAAAATTTATTTTCAGAATTTGTGGCAGATTAAAATAGTCACATAAAATTCTTTGAACAATCTGCCAGCACCTCCCTCCAATGTAACTGCAGTAAATCAAAAAATAAAGAAAATAAATTTACAGAAAACAACAACAACAACAACAACAAGTTATTACAAAGTAAATATGAAAAATAAATTAACCAGAGAAATAAATTGAATAAACTAACTTACAGGGCTGAGGTCACACATAGGAGGGATCACCAGTGCTCCATTGTGTTCAAAAAGCACACTTAGTAGTAGCAGTTAGCAGTAACTGTAGCAGTTAGCAGTAACTGCAACAGTAAATGTAGCAGCAGCAGATAGTAGTAGCAGGAGTAAACAGCAGGAGTAGTTCTTTTCACTAGAGATCTCAGGATAACAGAATCTTTCAAACACGACCGGAGTAACGTTACAGATGCTAGATCTGCATTTCTAATCGCCCAGGACAGAGAGGGAGAATCCTACAAGAGATATGCACTTGCAAAACAGTTACTGTTTGCAAAATCACACGCTAGCATTCCCCTTTAATCCCTACATAAGAAACTTACCAAGCCGGGAGAAGTACACTCATGTATTCACGAATTAGTCATCTCCATTAATGCTACAAGCGAGCTGAATGGATGGCAGTCATTAACTCCATGGCAACCGACAGGAAAACCAACGAAAAACCAGGCTAAAAATGAAACCACGACGATTAATCCAAACGTTATCGAAAGAGAAAGAGAGAGGGAAAGAGATAACCGCTAACATACCTGAAACAGATGTCAACAAACGCGGAACAAGAAAGGCGGGGCTGGAGGTGACACATCACCTAGCACAGCCAACCGGCTCTAAAATAGGCAGCACTGGCCCCTGATTGGCTGTTATCAACATCAATCACTACCACTTATCCTATACACTGTCACAACTGCATATGTCTTCATCTGACAAATGTAATATTTGTTTGTGTATTCTGTCCTCTTTATAAGAAAGCGTGACCATCACACCACAGGACTCTCGCTGGGTTGGGGCTTGGTGGTTGGGTTATGTGGTGTCTGGCCTGTTGACTCTCCTTGCTGCTTTTCCTTTTGGGTTCCTGCCAAGAGCTCTGCCTGAAAATTCCCAAATCTCAGAGCTAGACCACCCCTCAGAACAGCACAAAAATCCACCAAGCATTATGGAGATAGTCAAAGGTATGGCATCCTTATGAAGTTCTCACATTACATTAAAAAAAAATTTCGGATTGTTTAAAAAACTGCCTATTTACTTGTTTTCTAGATTTTGCACCATCTTTTAAGCGTCTGCTTGCCAATAAGATCTACATTCTGTACCTTGCTCACAGTATAGTGGCATTCAACGACTTTGCCATAGGCATAACATACACGCCAAAATATCTGGAACAGCAGTTTGGACAAAGTGCATCGAAAACCAACTTTCTGATAGGTGACGAATGTGATGGTTACTGGAGTTTTCCTTTATTTTCAGTCTGTTTGAATATGTTGTGTTTATTTATACTGTTCACAGGAATTACATCGATTCCAACATTTGCTCTGGGTATTTTCCTGAGTGGGTTGATGATGAAGAGGTTTAAATGGGGTCTGCTGGCATCTGCAAGAGTGAATTTGTACACTGGTGTCACCACATTGTTTTTGACCATAACTTTCTTTGCTCTCAGCTGTAAGAATCTAGATGTCGCTGGGGTTACGGCGCCCTATCAAAGGTTCTTATCGCTATCTGCATATTTAAAGTATTCATTTTTAAATCACTTGTAGGTTATTGGACAACATAATGAATTGTTCATGTGGCAGATCTACTGAAGTTCAGGATATTATAAGTGATGTACTCCCTTCTTGCAATGCTGACTGTGGGTGTCCAGACCTCCAGTGGGATCCAGTGTGTGGAGAGAATGGAGTGACCTACATTTCACCTTGCCATGCGGGCTGTAATTCCACCAAGGGGGCAGGATGGAATATGGTAAATGAGGAAAACAGCAAACTTATATTCTTTATTACATTTTTGTGAGAGTATTTTCCGCTTTCTTGTCTTGTTTCCGTTTGACAGACATTCCATGACTGCGGGTGTATTCAGAGCTGGGGACTGAGCATTGGTAACTCCTCCGCAGTGCTTGGCCAGTGTTCACGAGATCCCAACTGCAACAGATTCTTCTACATTTATCTGGGATTGCAGTCTTTGGCCTTCTTTGTGTACAGTCTTGGCACTGTTCCCTTTCTCACCATGTCTATGAGGTTCCATTTGACTTCTTTCTGTACTGTTTGCTAATATTTTTGCTTCTCAAGAGTAGAATATGAATTAACAAAAAGTTTAAACGTAAGTTTACACCACTGTGGTCATCCTGTTAACAATGCTGTGTGTTTACATTACCACTGTCTACAGCAGGGATGTCAAACTCAATTCCTGGAGGGTCGCAGCCCTGCACAGTTTAGCTCCAACCCTAATAAAACACACCTGATCAAACTAATTGAGTTCTTCAGGCTTGCCTAAAACCTACAGGTAAGTGTGTTAGAGCAGGGTTGGAATTAAACTGTGCAGGGCTGTGGCCCTCCAGGAATTGAGTTTGACATCCCTGGTCTACAGTATTATTTGTTCTGGTCACTCACTTTGCCATTGACCCTCTGAGGATAGAACATGTTTACATATCAATGTTCTGATAATTAAATCTGAACACAAATTCCTCACCTCCAAGTGGCTTTTAAGTGTAACTTTTTTTTAGAGTAAGTTGGGTCATGACCGAAGGGACAAGCTCTCGGATACAAGCAGCCAAAAATTGTTTCCTCTGCAGGGTGGCAGGGTGCACCTATATAGACAGGTGGAGGAGGAGAGGTTAGGAGTAGAGCCGCTGCTTCTCCACATCGAGAGAAGTCAGCTGAGGCAGCTCTGACATCTGTTTCGGATGCCTCCTGGACGCATACCTAGGGAGTTGTTCATGGCATGTCTCACCAGGGGGAGGCCTCGGGAAAGACCAAGGACATGCTGTAGGGACTGTGTCTTTTTGGCTGGCCTGGGAATGCCTCGAGATCCCTCCTAAGGAGCTGGAGTAAGTGTCTGGGGAGAGGGAAGTCTGGGGTTTTCTCCTAAGACTGATGACCTTACGACCCGGCGTGTCCCAGCCCTTAAGCAACTTGAGATGTAGTCATTGCTTAATTTGAGCTGGATGAGCATGTGGCGTCTGTCTCCGTCTAGGTCCCTCCCACCTTGTTATCACATTACTAGTTAAGTTTTCCATTGTTGTTTTCCTTCTGTGGTACTGCATAGTCTCAAGTCTTGTCTTGCCCTGCCTTCTCAGCCCAGTCTAGTTTTACATTCTAGTTAACGTTTTCCCCCCCTGGGGCTTGTGTGTCTTCAGGTGCCTTCTCATAGTGCATAGGGCTGGCTCTGCCCGGCTTGCAGGGGCTTGGGGAGCGGTCCGGGTCAATAAGCATACCTGATCTCCAGATGTCGGCAATGGTACAGAGGACTTCTCGTCTGGTGGCGAGGGGGCCATGGGTCTTTGTTTGCAGGTCGCCATTTTGGGGTTCTTCCACTCTTTCACCTTCTGGGGATCAGATGCTGTTGCCAGCTTGATGTCTTCCATCAGCTCTGGCCAGGTGGCAGAGGTGTAGAGCAGAACAAGTTGTCGTTGCTAAGAGGGCAACACCTGCAGCAGGTGGTCAATAACAAGCCTCTCAATGGCTGATGGTTGGTCTTTCAACAGCCAAATGCAGGCCGGTTGCATCAACTCCCAGTGCCTGCTTGATGGCTGAGGTGTGCTGGGCTAGTGTCTGCTACTGGTACTGCTGCTGGTACTGGCACGCATTACAGGCTCCAGTTAGGCTCAAAAGAGCCAAAACCTGGTGACTGACCACCTGCCTCTCCTTCTCACTCCCAGCGGCGAAGTCCGCGAGCTGGTTTTGATGGCACCCCAGCTCTGCAAGCTGGTGGAGGATGTCATTCATCTTTAGCCCCAGGCGCGAGTGGTGAAATTAGAGAGAAAGAGAGAGCGGCATACAAAAAAACAGTCCAGATTATAATACCTGTCACGTGTTACTCCTCAATCTGCCAGCATTCTCCACCGGATGTCGCAGGTGAGAGATGACACTGACACAGAGACAGTTCAAATCCCTGTAAGGTGATTAATTAGGAGTGGTAGGAGTGAAGCAGAGGAAAAAGTGCACTGGGATGTGGAGGGCATTGTGTTCAGATTGAGGTGAAGGAGTCAATTCTTTGGCAACCCTGACACCATACTGGCATACTGACATACCTGTATTTGTATTGCTAATTAAATTCTATTAATGATTCATCCACAAAGTGTCAATTGGTTAGTCCTAAAACATATACTGCATATATTTTGCCAATGGCAACCCTACTCACAATTTTTGTGTCACATAGGCCAAAAACAGCACTCTTATATGAAGCTATTAGATTTGAGGATAATGTTGTATTAATATTAGATTTTTTATTTAAAATGCTTATTGACAAATGTTCTTGCAGGATTGTGGATCCTGAGCTGAAGTCTCTCTCCGTGGGAATGTTACTGTTAGCTGTAAAAGTTTTGGGTGAGTTTGTGGTGTTTGGTAAGGTACAACATATTTACTATATTGCCTAACCCTGCTAAAAAATCCAGCCTAGGCTGGTTTTAGCTGGTTGACCAGCCTGGTTTTAGAGGGGTTTTGTCACTTCCAGGCTGGTTTCCAGCCATTTCCAGCCTGGTCTTAGCTGGTCAGCCTGGAAAGTGACCAGCTAAAACCATCTAAAACCAGCTTGATCATCCTGGTTTAAGCTGGACATAGCTGGTTTTGGCTGG